TCTCTCTCTCTCTCTCCTCCCCCACTCCCTCCCTCCCTCCCTCCCTCTCTCTCTCATTGAAAACCTTTTAAAAACCTATATTTTTTCCTGTATAAAGACCCATTTCTACTTTGTGAGGAAATATTGTGAGACAATGTTTTTAAAACTAAACATTCTGCTTTTATATTGTAAGTAAATTTCATGATTTCTAAAGGCAGAATGAAAACTGTCAATTCAGTAAATGTTATCAATTAATTTAAATAAACAATGCACATGTAAAATTGTAAGATCACCTTTTTTCCCCCTGAATTTCCTCTCCTAGCGCCTTCTGGGTTGTTTGACAACACAATTTCAGTGGAACATTTTTGCATGTCACGTCGAACATGGTGAACATGATTTTATTTTTTGATGTTTGTAATTCATGTAATTATTGTGTTCTGTAGGGTCATTGTCTCTGGGCCCCACATCTGTCACTCAAATTCCTGGGACAGCTCCATCTCTATGGAGTCAGACTCCCACAATGTTTCCTCCTCAAGGCAGTGTTCCTCAAGTAACGGTTCCAGGACAACCAAGCCTTTTTTCTCAACCATCTGCCTTTGGAGGACTGCCTGCACCTGCATGGGGGCAGCAAGGAGCTTCCCCTTTTGGTCCACCAGCTGTCACTCAAGCCTGGGGTCAACCAGGAACTGCAGCACCTGGTGGGGCCTGGCCCACCTCTGGTCCTGTGGCCAGCCCTTTCCAACCAAACCAATTTGCTCCCATGATGCCTCCTAATTCAGTGATGGGTATGCAGCAGAGTGCAGTGGTTCCTCCTCGACCTCCACCCCGTCCCCCGGTGAAAGAAGATACGCCAGTGGTCAAAAGCGCCTTTACAGCTTTGGACCCCCTAGGGGAGAAAGAGAAGAAGACTGGAAAAGATATGTTCAAAAATTTCCAGATGGTTAAGCCCCAGAGAGCAGAACAAGGAACTGGTCCAAGCACCAATGGCTCATTTGACCAGTACTTTTCTAGCAAGGATGGCTTGGCTCAGGAGGTGGCAGATCATGATGACTTTGACATAAACCAAATCTCAGTTAACTCCAATGGTATACATTTAATTAACAGCTGTAACTTATGATTTATGTCACAGAGAATAGAAATTTCGATGGTTTGATAATTACAGTTCCTTGTCTTGTCCAGGGACCTCCAAACTTGCTCCTCGGCAGTCCCCTCTTACTGTTGCAGTACCTCAGGGAGCAGGTCTGATCCCGACCCTGGCCCCAGTCACAGGGCTTTTGGATGCTGCCTTCAGTCCTAATCCAGCCCCTGTACCCTCAAACCAAACTCCCACAGCAGGCTCAAACCTTTTTGATGACACTTTTGGAACTAACCCTTTTGGAGCACCACCCATGAATACGGTATGTACATTTACATAGCTTTTGAATTCTAAAAGCTTATAGTGTTGAAAAGACAGTTTTATGTGTAACACTGTGTTTGTCTGTTTATACTGTGTTTTTGGGATTGCAAATTTGTTGACCTTTTGAATTTTTCCGAATTAATTTTGTTGCCCGTTTTCTATCACAGAGCACTCCAGCCGCTCAGACTGCTGCCCTTGCAGATGCTTTTGGAGACCCATTTAGTGGAAATCCTTTTGCCTGAGAAACTTTAGCACTGTTGGTGAGAAACTATAAAGACACTCACTTAAATACTACTTTAAATGTTTGGTTATTTTATATATTGTATACGTCTCTAAGACATATGATTTGCAGTATGTGTTAAAATAAATATATGACCTGTTCATATACTTATTTCAGTACACTCTCACTGATCCAGTGCTACTGAGCCAGAGGACCACACAAGCACTGTAGAGTTGCAATCAGCATTCTACTACATGGGAAAGAAATGTGCCCATAAAACCCCTTTTCTTGTATTGTGTGCTTCACTGTTCTCATTCTCACTATATATCTGCTGTAGCCTCTTTCTGTGCCTTTCAAACTGATCAGAGATCAGCCCTTCTTCTCCAGCCCATTCACATTAACCCATTTCAATCCCAAGTCACTCATGAAATAAGATGCACAGTTGAAGTAGGGTTCTTCTAGAGCGTGTAATAGAGAAGGAGAGGGAATAAAAGATGTTGATCATGTTTGTGTACATGACTTTTCTGTATGCAAGTATCCCGAGCATTTATGATGAAGTAAAAAATGCTTAATCCTAATGATTTGTCATTAAAGAAAGTGAATAAATATCTGGCTTTGTGTTTTTTTTTTTTTTTTTTTTTACCTGTTCTTTAATTTTTTTTTTATTACTAATAACA